CTAGCATGTGCATGGAATTAGTTTACAAGATGGTAGTCATATTATTGATAGTGATCAATTGGCATATAAGGTCATGAACCCCATTCCTGAAAACAGAATAGTGAGAATTGTTTTAGAACATGTACATCATGTTGATAACAGCTACTCTAATCTTGAGGTTGAAAGTGATCCTGTGATTGACCTCTCATTTCTTGGTAGTCTGAACTCTAATGTTGAACAACCTGAACATCCTGAACAATATGAACAACATGAACATCCTGAACAATCTGTACAATCTGAACAACATGAACAAAATGAAGAGTGTGCTTCTGTTGATGATAGTGATTCAGAATGTGAGGAGTTCAATGATAGTGACTATGATATGGATGAGGATGATATTTTGTTTGACAGAAATGTTGATAAAGATGCAAAATTTGTTGGGGTAAATGAAAAAAAATAAGGTAAATCAATTGAAAATGAGTTTTTGTCTGAGGGTATATTTGAGGAAGAGCATGATCTTGAGTTAGGGGATAGTGATTCATTTGAAAGTGTTAGAGGGTCTAATGAGGAGGATAATATTGTGAGATTCCCTAAATATAATCCTAAAACTGATAAAAACCCTGAGTTGAAGTTAAGGATGATTTTTAGTACAAAATCAGAGGCTAAGGATATTATTCAGGGTTTCTGCTATAGAAGAGGGATGGTGGTTCGTTTTGATAGGGATGACAAAAGAAGATTGAGGGCTAGGTGTACCACAGAGGGGTGTGGGTGGTATATTTTTGTTTCACCAATGCAAAATGACTTATCTTGGCAGGTGTAGTGTTATGAGAAAAACCACAAAGGTTGTTATTGGAACTACAATAATCCTAGCATCAAATCTGTGTGGATAGGAAAGAATTTCATGAAAAAGTTTAAGAAGTACCCTAAGTTAGGAGTCAATGAGTTTAGGGGTATGTTGTGTACCAAGCTGAAGTCCAATATTTCTAGGCAATAAGCCTACAGGGCCAAGAAGAAAGCAATGATGCTTCTAGATGGAGCATTAAAAGAACAATTTAGTTCAATCAGAAGCTATTGTTTAGAGTTGTTAAGGTCCAATGATGGTTCAACTATTGTCTTAAAACTGAGCAATTGTGAAGAACAATCAAGGCAACCTGTGTTCCAGAGACTGTATATTTGTTTTAATGCCTGCAAGAAGGGTTTTAGGCACTGCAAAAAATCATTGGTGTTGATGGGTGCTTCTGGAAAGGCCCCCAAGGTGGTCAGCTCTTAACAGCAGTGGGAATTTACCCAAATAACCAGATTTTTCTTGTTGCTTATGCAATAGTTGAAAATGAGAATAAAGATTCTTGGATGTGGTTTTTGAGGTTGTTACATAATGGTTTAGGGATTGATAATGAACTTGAATGGACTTTCATGAGTGATAAACAGAAAGGGCTTATCCCTGCCTTTGAAGATTTGTTCCCCAATGCTGAAAACAGATTTTGTGTTAGACATTTACACAGCAACATGAAAAGAGATGGGTTTGTTGGTCAGTCAATAAAAAATGCTTTGTGGGCTGCAGCCAGAGCAACTAGGGTAGAAGTTTTTAGTGCAAAGATGGATGAATTGAAAGAGCTGGATCCAAACGCTTATAAGTGGCTGGTAAATAAACCTCCTCATCAATGGTCTCGGTCTCACTTCAAAACTTCACTGAAGTGTGATATTTTACTGAACAATATGTGTGAATGTTTCAATTCTTTCATCTGGAATGCAAGGGACAAGCCAGTCATTGTGATGCTTGAGACAATAAGGCACTTGTTGATGGCTAGACTACAAGTGAATAGAGATGCAGCTAAAAACTGGTCTGGGAGGATCTGCCCTAGAATTAAAAAGATACTTCAAAAAAATATGAAAGATGGTGCAGAGTGTATTCCCATGAAAAGTGATGATTGGCACTTTGAAATCATAGGCCCTTATGATCAACACACAGTTGATGTTGTTGGACTGAGTTGTAGCTGTAGAAAATGGGATTTGACAGGAATCCCTTGTAAGCATGCATGTGCTGCCATTTAGTGTAGACATGAAGATCCTGAGTGCTATGTTGATGACTTGTATAGTCAAAACACATACAGAAGTGCATATGAAAATGCCATCATGGAGATTTCATGTTCTGAATTGTGGCCTAAATGTGATTTACCAGCTCCTTTGCCACCAATATATGAAAATAGGCCTGATAGGCCCAAAAAATTGAGGAGGGGGCAACTTGATGAGCCTCCTGCTCCATCCTCTGAAAGCATGCTTAAAAAAGTTCAAAATTCGGTAAAATGTGGAAAGTGTGGTAAACAAGGCCACAACTCTAGAACTTGCAAAAATCAACAGCCTGGAAGTACAACTCCAGTGGCAAGAAGCATGGGTGGCACTCAGTCTCAGTCACAATCTAAGTCTCAGTCTCAATCTCAATCTCAATCTCAGTCTCAAGCTCAGTCTCAGTCTAAGCATCACTCTCAGTAGAGATGTTAAACGGTCCTTGGCCCGACGGGCCAGCCCGTTTAGCCCGGAAAAAAACAGGGTTAGGGCTTTTTATTGGTAGCCCGTT